GGTACATATAAAAAATACAGTAGTTACCAAATTAGAATAATAATCTGTCACTTCTGGCCTTCCTGAATCCATATCCCTTTAATGTACATCTGGCTTGTACATGCAAGAAGATAAGAAATAATAGATTAACAACTCCGAGAATCCTTCCCAACTACCTACAAATCAAACTGTCAAAAATCTCTTCCTAAAAGTAACCAACCATGCTCCTTTGTCTGATGAAATATTCCCACACACTATCTTAGAGCTGATTAACTATGATCGAATTAACAATTTTCAAACCTGAGAAGAAATGAATAGAAGCCTCTCAAACACAATGCAAACTACCAATAACCAAAGACAAAAGAGTGCACCATAAAGACCTTGTGGGACACATATTCAACATGAGAAACAAGCATAGATTTAACATCGTTATTCATTATTAGTGAGTTCATTGAATTGAAAGACACAAAAAAAATTGGGCATTCTATGGCAACATATAGCAACTACTCGATCAAAAAAACATATAACGACTACAGCATAATAATACCAGCTAAAAAATGTATTCCAAAGTCCAAAGTGGCAAGGCAGATACAGCATACTGTAAATATTTTGGGAATCAACGCAGTTGGAAATCGATTTCGGCAAGGCAACCCTTAGCACCATGCGATTATGAAAACCGCTATGTCACTCTCATGGCGCAACTGCGCACAAGCAGACAACTACGACAGGACACTCATGGTTGTCTCTCGTGCTTTCCATCGAGCATATGATGAGCAATTTAGTCGAACACATGCACGCACACAAGCGAGATACGACATAACGGATGAGCAACCGAAGGACATGCGAAGTTGAGATTTGCTCACCTGGTGCGGATCTCGGCAGGGTCCTGATCTGTGAGGAGCTCCGGCATGCCGTCTAAGGCCCAGTTGGCATCCCCGTCCTCGTACACGAGCAGGCGCACCGACCTCAAGCCAAAACAAGAGCACACGCGAATCAGGGCGCCTCCACCTTGGATCTGCGTGGAGTGAGATAGATATAGAGTTTAGGGCGGGAGAGATGGGACCAGGGCTCACCTGCTCGCGCCGCCCCCGATAGAGCCGGACGCCTCGTTCGCTTGCGCCGCTGCTCACACCGCCACGCCACCTCGATAGGTCCGACCAGAGACCACGACACCACGGCACCCGCGGCGCTTTCGTCTAGGAGCGGCAAAGCGAGACCGTGTGAAGCAAAGACCACCGGCCTTCGAGGGCGCGGACAAAGCGGCGCGCTCCGTCATGACGTCTGGATAATGGCGCACATCATGGGAGCGGGCGAGCGGGCGGGATCGGGCGGGATGTCAGGCAACGGCGGTGGTAGGGAGAGGGAATGGATGGGCGGTGCCGGCGGAGGGAGAGAGGAGGAGATCGAAGCGGACTTGGTCTGGAAACCGCAAAGAAATCATGCATGCATGAGTGGGGAGCTTAGGAGCTGTCACTCGACCTCCTCGGTGGGTGGTCGGGCCTGTGAACTGAAGCCCGAGCGGAGGGTGTGTGGGCTCTGTTTGCAACGCTAAATAAGGACTATTTGGTCTTAAATAACTATTTAATACTATATATATATATAATATATATATATATATAAGATAGAGAGAGAGAGAGAGAGAGAGAGAGGAAAGTGCCCTTAGCCATTCGGCCTTCTCCGAATAGCGTCCGAACCGAAGCACAGGTCAGCAAAACCCATCGCGGACTTGCACATCCTACTTTCGACGTTCGCTAGTTCCAACGCTCTGCGCGGCATTCCGCCGAACATACACCATGCACTCCCTGCGGCGCGCCCTTCGCCGCCCCATCCCCAATGCCGCCGCCTCTTTGTCCACCTCCGGCCTCCGCCGTCTCTCCTCCCACCGTAGCACTCCACCGCTGCCCCGTCCCGCGGCCACCGGCGACGACGAGTGGAACGACGCGTGGGAGACCGCATGGCTCCCGGGCGACTCCCCCGCCTCCTCCCCAGCGCCCGCCGCGCCGTGGGAGTCTCCCGCCTCGGCCTCGGCGTCCTCCGTCCCGGCCATCGCCGCCGAGGTGGACCCAGACACGAAGGCCTTCGTGGCGGACATGGACGAGCGCTGGGCCGAGCGCCGCGCCGCGTCGAGGCGGGGCCAGCCGCAGCGCGCGTCTCGCGCGGCGGAAGGCGGGGAGGGCGGCGCCGCGGCGAGGAAGAAGGCGCAAGCCGACGATTACAGGACCAGGAAGCAGCGGGTGCACGCCGCGCTTTGGGTGAAGGAGATCGAGAAGATGGAGGAGGCGCGACTCGGCGGTGGGGGAGGCGGCGCCGACGATATCGACCGGCTGCTCGACTCGTGCTCAGAGTGCGTTGCTACTCTAGTAACTTTCATCTTTATATCTGAACGAAATTGCGATCCTTACCTGTTGTTGCTTCATGCTATGGCATTCCTTGCTGAAAATTGATTTGCTTGTGAGGATTGTGATTATTGGTGGAAAGGTCTGCCTTGGATTACCCCAGCTCCTCAACGTTGAAAAATTCTATTGAATTTGCAAGATCACTTACACTTTTTATTTGTATATAATATGATTACATTGAATTATACTCAGAACTTGCTGTCCAAGGATCTTCTCATGTCCTTGGCAAAACTTTGAAAATATAGTAATCCATGGGCTCTATACTAAAATCTAAATTAGGCCTTTAACATATAGTCGAAATAAAATAATAATAAAATTTTTAAATGTATTACATAAACCTTTTCAAATAGAATAGGGATTGTACATGTTGTTTGAACATAATTATGCAAACTCTTAATTACCAGCTCCTGACTTAAGGATCTCAGATTTCTTGAAAAGTGTCGTTATTCTAACATTCTTGAAATGGAATCATCATCATTTTTTTTTCTAAACACACAAGAGAATTGTGTATGAATCGTCTTATAATCAATCTTTGCCAGCAAGCTATTCTCAAAGAACACACCGTAGTTGCCGCCTTGCTGGACATACATATGCAGATTGCAGGTTTGTTGGTTCCCAACTTAATCTAGCAGTAAACGTGTAAAACTCAATCTCACCAGTCGATAGGATGATGGGCGTAGGTGAAGAAAATGAAGATTTTGGAATTTGGAGAAAAGATACATGCCAGAGCACTCAAGAAATAAATTAAAAATGGGACTAGAGTGGGGATGAGTATTCATGGTCCCAAGCAGGATTTTTGTTGGGGGCCACTCGCACATTTATCAGGGGAAGACAATAATGAGAAAACAAGAGACAATTGTGTGCATCATTGCATCAAGGGGAAACTGTAAAGAGAGTAAGAAAGATGAAAGAAAGAGTTTTATGCTCAAGTGACATGCTTCCAGGGAGTTTCAAGAATGAAATCGTGAGTGGACCATTGTACAATTTACTACAAAGCATACTAATTAGTAGTAGCATATAGACAAAACTTGGGGGCCATGTATGGCCGCATTGGTTGAGCGTGCCCAGGGAAGGGCCTGGTATTTGCCTATGGTTCTCCTATATTTTGCAAGGAGATTCCAAGTTCCAACCTTTAAACAACTTATGGAAATGTGCCAAATGCATCAGTTATAGTAACTGTGATAAATGTGTCAGGTACATATGTAGGGAAGAAGATCGATTGGCATCTCACTTGTTATATTGTTCTGTCACGATTCCTGTTGATTGTTGGTGGACTCAGTGGAACACTACATTTTTTTGCTAGCAGATTGTGATGCTGTATAACATAGGGTTGAAAATTTGTAACTGTTAGAGTCTTACCGCCTGTGACCGGAAGGTCCCGGGTTCGAGTCGCGGTCTCCTCGCATTGCACAGGCGAGGGTAAGGCTTGCCACTGACACCCTTCCCCAGACCCCGCACAGAGCGGGAGCTCTCTGCACTGGGTACGCCCTTTTTAGTTGTCTTCTTCTGGTAGCAAATTTGTGATGTACGATTGGTTTGCATTGTGTTGCACACACCTAATTTTTTTGGTTATATTCTGTGTTTTGTTGATTCTGTTATTTGCTTATGGTCCTTTTGGATGCAGTATCTTTGATTCTGGCAACACTGATTTTGGTGATTCCAAGATCCCAAGCACTACTGAGATCAAAACCAAGCCTGATGGTTGGGAAACTACCTCAAGAGGACAGGATGGGAACATATGGGATATCTCGCAGCGAGAAGATGACATTCTTCTCCAGGAATTTGAAAGGCGGATTGCTTTTAGTAAACAGCAGGTCTACAATTATACTTCCTGCACCCAATATTCTTGTTGAAACTTTTTACAAATTGATGTGAAAAATGCTATTGCAGATTGCTAGCTTCATCAAAACCCACATTTTTAGTCGGAGACGTCCTATCGATGGATGGAAGTACATGATTGAAGAAATTGGTCCCAACGCAAGAAAAGGAAAGGGGAGTGTGCAAAGATTACCAAGTGTGAGTGATCCTGCAACCCAGCCGTACAGGGAAGAAACTCCTGCAATCGCCTCTAGTTCCTCCTTCAGAGGAAATCGGCCATAATGATATTCAACAAACCATATCTTTTGTTGGTTTCACCGGTATAGTTCAAACAGGCCTGTTTTCCCACCGTTTGGCTTCAAATGTATGGTGGATAACTCCTTGCGAAGAACATGATGAATTTTCTCATCCCTTCTGGGTCGTATGATTTTGTAATGAATGTGATGCTGTCTGATTAACCAGAATGGAAGCATTTAAGCTTACTAGTTACTACTATTCTGTGGTTGACAATTATCATATGTTAATACAACATTCTGGTTTGATGGCCACTGGCCAAGTTTTGCTAAACTGTATCGAAACATTGATCATCCCAGGCTCTTAACTTCAGCGTGTAAAGTGCTGACAAGATCGATCCACATTTACAGAGATCTATCAACAAAGATTGCAATGGGAGGGTACTATTTCCATTAGAGTATAATCTATCATTCTGAGATCCAAAAAGGAGGTTCATATTTACATGCACACAGCTTGTGCTGTACATCCACTAGGCTCAAAACAGAAACTCTTTGATAATCGGAGCTGATCCACTCATTCTCTATCTGTGCTAGCCTCCTTGCTGCTGCCGGTTGTGCTGCTACTGCATTGCTCATCTTCCATTCTTGGAAGGCCAGAGAACAGACTTACAGGCCATGAGGCCGATTGCGTTGGGTACCTTGCCTGTGGTCGTGCCACATGGCTGGGAGCTTCCTGGTCTTCACATGGCTCACGGCCTTCAGCAGATGCCACTTCTGGGAAGAGCTTCAGTTCCAGTGGTGGTGCAGCATAAGGTGGTTCGGTCATTACTGATGGTGCTGGTGCCAGTGGCTGCTGCAAGGGGAATACAACGCTTGCAATGGTGGGTGGTTGCATTGCCTGCTCTGATGAGAACACTGCGGTTGAGTGAGGAAGAGGGGGGTCTGATCTGGCAGTGCCATGGCCCCAACCTGCTGGACTTCCTGAAACCCGCATTGTCAACTCGTTTTGAAGCTCTGAAATTTCTTTGTGTAGCATGCCGTTTTCATCTTGCATCTCATTCCTCTCCATTGTGACCTGTTTCCGGAAAAGGAAATATAGGTGATAAATAACTTTTGAATCATGCTGGAAGATGCAACAAAGGTAGTGTGACAAGCCAATAAAATGATGAATTGGCTTAGGCATTTGTATAGAGCATTTATAATGGATAAAATCAGATAACAAAGTTTGCTAGATAAAGGGCAACAGCACAACTGCCGATAAATCAATTCTCAGTATACATATTAAAAGAAGAAGGCTTACATAATGAGACTCGTTCTGTAGGTTGCTATGTTCCTTTCGAAGAGAGTCTACTTGAACAAGCAGCTCTCTTAGTATCCGAGTAGTGTCAGTCAGTATGCATGCCTTCCCATTGTTCTGTCTATCTGCTTCTGCAAAGGTATGCTAAATGTGATCAGGAAAAATGCCCCATAGCAAAATTGAGCAGTATAAAACGTTATGAGTGCAAAGGAAAGAGCAGGTTTCGGGTTGTGTTTGAAACACGCAAAGTACATGGTCAGGGTTCAAGGTTAAACATGAATCCAAGTTTCAATTAAAAGAACAAGAAAATTCAAGTCTAATAAGTAATAAGATGTTAGCCATATTCGTACACTCTCAGTGGTCCATGTCCATGCTCTTCTTGAGAAGACTAGACTACTTTATAAGCTAATCCAGGAAGTGGGACTTCAGAGACGAAAGTTGATTGATGTGTTTATAACCTAAATACTTTTACGAGCCATGCAATTACATGACACATTGTGGAACCATGTGAGCTCTGTTATACCAAACGAAATTTTGATAATGGTGAGACTGACAAACCCCTGCTCCTGGCCTCAATCGCTACATGCAAAACAGCTACAATTCGGAAAGTGGTCTGAGACAACTGACATTTCATACATCACACCATCATGCAAGTTCAGAAACATCAAACAGCAAACATGAACTCTGAAGCAATGGTACTTCAGGTTGCAACACAGACTAAGAAGAGTAGCGTATATATGGGCCATTCACAGATTTGGCACCTGAAATAATGTGCTTCGCAATATAGATACTGACCTAGCAAATTACCCAGCTCGACGAAGAGATCGTTTAGGTGGTCTCGTTTAAGCTTCTCCCTCTCAGCCTTATGAATCTTCCTCGGGGCTGGTTTCTTGCACTTCTTCTTGCCAGAGATAGGCCTACGCAAGACGAGGTAAACAGAACAGCATGTTCAGCAACAAGTCTTGACACAAGCAGCCGCTTTCATGCCCATTTCATTCCCACAAGGAAAGACAAAAATCAAATTGGCAGGAAACAACAACGCAATTTTACAGCTGCCTAACTGATAGGAGTTGTACAGATAATGCAGAATTGTAGAGCACTTGATCCAAGCTGTGCTTAATCCTACAGTAATCCCATTACTTTGTTACAAGAAATAACTTCTTGGATACCAATACTGCTGCATAGTGCCATTAACTCGATAGTCTACCGGAGGACACAAGACAGAACACACAGAGACAAAACTCTGCGACATACCGTAGCACCCAATGGAATCACGGCCTCCAATGGAATGAAATCTGAAAGTTCCATTCCAGTCCGAGGGGAGGGCTAATCTTTAGCCCCGAATTACTAACACTCTTACCCATGGAGCAGCTTGTCGGCGGCAGGCGTGCTGACGGCGGTGGCGACGCTCCCCCTCTCGGATGGAACCATTGGGCTGGGCAAATCCTGTCACAAACCTCCTCGTCCTCCTTTTCCTCCTCTCCACCCTCCTGCAGAGACCTACGAGCCATGGCCGGACCAATACATCAATCAATTAGTAGCCCGTCCATCTCCCCTGAGGCGTGGCAACAGCAGCCCTCCAGCCACCAACAGCAGTCAGCAGGCAAACGATAGGTACCTGGATTCGAAGACGCAGACGTTGCACTGCGGAACGGTGCAAGCGCGACGATGAGATTGTCGGGTTTGGGTCTCGGCTCACTGAGGTAGGGCGCCGAGCTAGGGTTAGGAAGGCGCACGCTCCTGGAGTCCTGATCGTGGTTCGCTGCTCGGAGAAGACGGCCGGCGGGAGGAGGAGAAAAAGAAACAGAAAAAGAGGAGGGCGGTGGGTCCCGGCGCGGCGCGGCCACGTAACGGCTCGTGCCGTTCCGTTGGGCGGCGGTGGGCTCGGCTGAGCCCGCGCGGAGGGTGCCTGGGTGGGGGCGTGCGGGAGGCGGAGGGGTTGGGGGGAGGGGCACGCGTGGGCGCGTGGGCGGCACCCTCCGGCGCTCCCGCCTGGCGCGTGCCGCCGCGTGCCCCTCAACGGCTCGGCGCACGCGCCTCCTGTTGCGCTGCAGCGGGTGTGGCGGCCACGCGCCTCCTGTTGCGCTGCCACCCACCCACAGGGCCGCTGGCGCCTGGGTCGCGCCGCCCGCGGCTCGTGCCGGTGCCGCCGAGGACCCCCTGCTGGCTGCAGGCAGCAGCTGGCGCTGGCGTTTCGTCCTTTCCCTTCTCATCCGACTCAGCCGAGGACCATCGTTCCATCGTCATCACCTCGGCCCTGTTTAGTTCCTACATGAAACATTAAATATAAATAAAAATAATTATATAGTTTAGACGAAATCCACGAGACGAATCTTTTAAGCCTAATTAAATTATAATTGAACACTAATTATCAAATAACAACGAAAAGCGCTACAGTTACATTTTGCAAAAAAATTCAGATCTAAACTGGGCCCTCGTCTCGCAGATTGCCTCTTGTCTCGTACAGTTCGTATGTTGTCGTGTCTGTCACATCCCGATCCACAATCGTTGGAGTTAATTGTTATAATAATATAAACCATCTTTGGCACTGCTGACATGGATTTTTTTTTTATTTTTAACATATTTTAAAACTAATTTTAAATCTAACACTATTTTTTTCTTTAAAACTAGCACTATTTTTTTCTTCAAAACTAACACTTTTAGCCGCACCTATTGTCATGGCGCGAGAGGGTGTTTAATTGGGCGCGATGGCACGACCGGTAACGCGTGGTGGTCTGATGACGCCACGCATATAGACCATCGACGCGCATTAAGGCCCCATGGCTGTTAGCAGACTCATGATACTCTGATCATCATGAGACAGAAGACCAAATTTTCATTCTTTGTCGGTGAGGATCGGCAACGACGCGACCATGGACCCCGGTTTCGCGTCGCAGCTGTACGACACCTGCAGCTCCGACCACAACGCCTTCACCTTGCTCGACCCCTCGCTGGTGGGCTTCGACAACGCGGCAAGGGCCTCCTGGGCTCCAACCAGGTGATCTACTCCGACACGAGGTCGCGATCGAGAAGATGGCCGACTACTACTACGCATAACCTCTCAATCATAGTTTGGTGCCTTCTTCGGCGATTTTCGGTGGCGGGCGGCGATGACCAAGCTCATAGGAGGATCGGGGTCAAGACGCCGGCCTTAATAAAGTCCGTCCAAAGTAAATCGTTCCATACACAGAGATACGCCGGACCGTCCGGTTCCCAAACTAGTTGCTAGTTAATCTCGGTGGCGATAAATATCCTTGGTTTTTCGCATGCCGCGACGATTGAAACGAATATGAAGCAAATAAATGGAGTTTGTGCGCAAGTTGACAAGTTGCCACATAACATTTTCATTGGTTCATGAGTCAAGTTGGACGACAATATTTTTCGACATAACGCTAATATTTGTTCGACATAACTAACTAAGTCCGAGGAGCGTAAGGATCCCCGGGACGCCTCTCTTCTTTGGATTTGTAGGCAACACATTGGGAGTGTAGCCAACGTCATTAGCTTCAAGATCGCAGGTTATGATTGCCATAGACCAACTTATGAAGCGTATGGCTCGTGTTTCTCAGTTTGGTTTGGACCGCAAGTATATGATATGCACGATTATTTATAATCTTTATGATCGTTAGTTCATGCATATTCACCGATTCGAGTCGGCAATATATATAAAGAACATTTCATAATAAATATTAAAACAGGCTATATAGGCGGATAATGGAGAAGATGGAACAGTGCAGAATCAGAATAGTACAAAGCCATTTCTATAATACGAAGTTAACTTTGCGGCCCAAGCACAAGCGTAGTCGCGGGCTTTAATTGGGCCTTTTGCGGCGATGGCGATCATAGCAACAAATATTCTTCCAGCGCCAAGATGGGTGGCGATTAAGATTTCCAACCGATAAGAATGATGATCATCTTAGAGACCTCTGCAAGCTATGACATACGACGCCACGTCATCTTCTCTTTATGCCCGCCATGTAAACGCCGCCATGTATGTATCTGGTAACAGACTATAGATTGGCGAAAAGCGATGTTGTGCATTGCCTACCAGCGCCATGGTAATATGCGCGGCCAAAAGTGTTAGTTTTGGAGAAAAAAATAGTGTTAGATTTAAAATTAGTTTAAAAAAGTGTTAAAAAATCCTAACATGCATACTCTGATCATCATGAGAGCACCAGAGTAAATTAAACCACATCCCGGAGATCTGACAGCATTTGATGAAGACTCTGATCATGTATACGTGTGGACAGTGTCGACATTCGGATGAGTACGTATATATTGTATATTCACACGACACTTTCACAGAGCACAGTAAGTTCTACCAGCTCATTTTTTCAGTTACTACCTTTCAGTGTCAACAGAGGGTGCACAGTTTCTCCATGAACGATGGTTCGTCTTTAAATTCTCATGTAAAGCTTCATGACATGTATTTGAAATAAAAGTCACGAGAATATCTACAGGTAGCTGTTAGCAACCACACTCGATTGGTTCACTGACAACTCGATTTAGAGGTAGCAAGATACAAGACCTCAGGGGAGGGAGGTCTGGAATCAGCAAGCAGGGGAATCGAAACTAGAAGATTCTAGAAGGTGCTGGAGGTAGGAGAAGAGAGAGCTATTTGGGGAGGAAGATAAACAGTAGACTTCTGATTAATTCTTCGATGCCCTGGACGGCTGCTCCTTGCCTTCCTTTGTAATGCACATGCCCTGTCGTCTTGGGCCTGCATGGGCCGTCCATTCCAGCCCACCACTAGACAGTCCCTGACATTCCCCCTTCTTAAAGTTCAGCTTGCCCCCAAGCCGATCGAGAAGATGAGAACCACCGGGATCCCAAAGACTGAACGAGCTCTTGTTGTGAAGATCATAACCTCTGCACCTTCCACTTAGAAATGCGATGTGATAAGTGGAAGCACCACACTTGAGTTGTCTTGACTCTGGTCTTAGCTCCCAAGCTGCTATTTCAGGTACGAGCCTATATTGAGACTCCTGTGTGACAAACAACGCTTGATCAAGCAGCAACTTGCTGTAACTTGAGAGCCACATCATACTAGTAGATGACACTTCACCATATAAGTTGATAGCATGTATCTCAGCCAATACGTTTGATCGAGGTGACGGCCTAGCCCATGCCTGCAGCGCCATGCGAGGGGGCGAGCTTCGTCTCACGTACGGTCGTCATCACCAAGAAGAGGCGGCGCTGCCGTCGCCGAGCCAGGACCTGAGACACAGACGGTCCTCCAGCGGCACCCCCACACCCGGCCACTAGGGTGCCCGCGCACCAGCGGCTCGGCCCACAGCCCGTCATGCGTGTGCCCGTGCACCGACGCCTCGGCCAGCGGCGTACAGCGTCGGCGCCTGGAGGCCGCCATCGTCGCTGTCTTGAGCCAGGCTCTCTTCCTCGACGCCACGTTCCCCGAACGGACGCGCCTGTCGATGCCGATGGCTTCACGCTTGTCCAAAGCCATCGGCACGGACGCCGCCATGCCCCACCTCACCCTCGTCGCCAATGGCCAGTGCCGCCATCGCTCGTTGGTCTCTGCTTTAATTGTCTGGCTGGGGACCACATCGCCGCCGGTGCACCTTCCCATCCCGCTGCCTGTTCTGCCTTAGCACGGAGCACCGGGCAAGGAGCTGCAAGCACGGTCGTCCGCCCCAGCGCCCTTCCTTGGACCGGGTGCGGGAGCCACCAAGGCACGGTCTTCGGCGTCGTGCTGCTGGAGGCAAGCATGGTCGCATCGGTTCGCACCTGCGCCGACTCCGTCTTGGTCGCCATGGCGAAGATGACGACAACGGCGGCGACGGCCAAGTCACCGATGATGCGCTGGAGCCGCAGCTTGAGCCCAGGTGGAACCCAACTTTCCAGCAAGCGCCACCTGTAATTGTCGGACAGATTCTCTGCCTGACCTAACCGGGTATCGGTCCTTTGTCGTCTGGGCCACGCAGGCAGTGCCTACTACAGAAGGGGGCACAACTTCCCCGGCCCTCGTCACGTCCGGTGTCGTCTTCCCCCGACAAGTCGCCCGAGGCCTCCCAAGAATTTTAAATTCAAATTCTGTCGCGGCCTCAACCACCGCTCCCATAGATGGATCCGATGCTCTGTGACTCTGACTTCGATGCCACGGTTCGCGCCCAGCCAAAGTTCGCAGTCTCCGAGCACCTGCTTTCAGTCTTGGTGCCGGACAGGGGGCTGCAAAGTTGCCTTCCGCAGGGGTCCTGGGCATCGGGGCTAGTGGCTGACGAGCAAGCGTTGCATCAGCAGCTCTCCGTCGGGGACTCCAACGACGCCCACGATGGGCAACCCCCTCAGCCCACCGACGACGGCCCATCGACGGACCCCCCCTCCCACCTCTGTCGCAGCCTCGCCTTCGGTCCAACCCACGTCTGTCGAGGACTTCATTGCCGGTCTAAAGCTGTTGCTCGAGAAGCCATTGATCCAGTCGCCACCACGCCTTCATACCTCGCGCGTGCGGATCGAGGTACTCGCGCGTGTAGGAGAAGAGAGAGCGCGCTATTTGGGGAGGAAGATAAACAGTAGACTTCTGGTTAATTCTTCGATGCCCTGGACGGCTGCTCTTGCTTTCCTGTGTAATGCACATGCCCCGTCGTCTTGGGCCTGCATGGGCCGTCCATGCCAGCCCACTACTAGACAGTCCCTGACAGTAGCTCTTAATGGTCATGGCCTGAGGATAGACTGCACATATCACTTCCATTAGATCATCACGATGTCTCCTTTTGGTATGCAAAAGCGAAACAACCAACCACTAGGCCTTAAAACCAAATACAATGATTCGGACCTTATATATAAAGTGCAAACTATAACCCCATCATGTAGATAACAAACAAGAAGGCATGGGAAACTATTGAACCTGTATCCTCTTTGATGAACTTCAGAATTCAGATCCTTCTTGTACATGGGCATACCAAATGCAACAAAGAAAAGTGGTCCCGTTCGGCTGACAGAATTTTGGTTGAAACTGGTGAAAAACACTATTCTGGCTGAATTATTGTAAGAGAAAAACACTGTTCCGGCTAAAAAAAGAAGCCGAACAAGCTAAATATGGGGTAAGCCGAATGGTTTATGCTGGAATCCGCAACCGATCCAAAGTCCAAAGAGCAGTCAGACAAAATGGTCAGGTGCTCCAATTATTAAGTGGGAGCATCTGATTGCCCAAGAGTTTCCTTGTGAAATTCATGTGTTAACGTTGTTTCCTGGACACAAACTGAAAAGGAATGGTTGATGAATATGCATAGATCTCCCTGTGCCGGGATGCACCCAACTTACACCCACACCAAAAAAAAAAAAAAAAAAGAAAACATTGTGATCTCATTAGTAATCAAGGTCACACAGTAACATCCCTGGGCCCAAAATGTTTGTCAATTAAAATCAAATAGGAAGACCTTATGGGTTCATTTACACTCCAGTTGATGAAATTCTGAGACACAACAACAAAAAAGTGCGGGTAGAGGCAAAAAGTCCTATACAAAACTATAAGTCCACTGCTAGTTCATTACTTCCAGATGGACTGCTGCAGGGTAAGCAGCTGCATCTGTCTGATCAGATATGAGCTAGTACAAGGTCAAACGATCCTTTTGGCATGTCTTCTGCATCTCGGCACCGGTGGAATAATCAAATCATAAGTTCACAACTAGGCCCCACATAATTTACTCTCCCCCAGGATGATTGTTTTATATTTCAGTAACAAACATGTGCTGATGATTTTCAGCCTATAATCGACAGAGTTTTCCAATAAACACAGCCAGGGACCAAGTTATCTGTGTGACTGGAGAAAAATAAACGAACAATATTAGCTGCTTGTTTTTGCAACGTCCCAGTATTGCTTGACCGCGAAGAGTATCTTCTCAGGTACATGAGGGCCACCCTCATGATCAGCCAATCTTGTCTTCCACCTCATGGCATTGGCTATTTTCTCCACTTTTACAAGAACATCAACCTTGTCACGAACTATGACTGCACCCTCTGGGCGTAAGATTCTGTCCATTTCCAGGAGTATATCTTCAGATTGGCACCTGTTCAAGAACACGAATATTAGTTGGGAAGATTTATTTTATTCACAAACTTGTCCCTCTGCAATTTTACAAATGCTACATGCTTACTTGTTTTGGTACAAGCTGAAGATGTCATTAGAATGTATGAGATCATATGTCCTTGGATAAGTAGAAAATCCTTCACACCTGGACCAAGAATAAGTGTATGACGAACAAATGAACATTCGATAAGAAAAAAAAACAGTATTTTGCAATGCACCAAAACTGGCAGACATACGGTAAGTCAATAAACTCAAAGAGAAATATAAGAACTCAGTTTTTTCAAAAGCAGAAAAACTCATACTAGTGAACAAAGCACAAATTTAAAGAATTAACATGATGACCTTGGTGACAAGTTTTTCTATGGTGCATCTAGTGGATATCTAGGTGTTGATCTCTACTACCCACACTCAAATTTTGGGCCATTGGATCTTAATCGATTATTCCATCCAGGGGCTCTCCTTCTTTCTTCTACCTTTAGCCTTCTTTATCCAACCACCTTATTCTTCCTCCGGCCACGTCCCAAGGAGGACCTCAGGGCTCCGCCTGCTCACCTCCTCCTATCTCCAGTGGCAGCCTCCGTCTCGCCCTCCTCCCATTTCCTGCAGACAGAGCCACCGCCACTCCCCACAGCTATGCTAAAACGTTGAGCGAATTGCCCCCACACCAACCCTACCCATCCTCCACCACAACATCCCCGCCACCTTATCATTACACCCAGCAACCACCTCCACCATCAAGCTGACCTTCCTTCCCTCAAAGGTTCAAATCCTCAACCCCGAAATCCTCAAATCCCCTAAACCTAATCTGCCAGGGATGAAGGAGAAATAGGCCAGTCTCGATGGAGTTGGAGAGGAGGGTGTCACATGGCAAATCTGCTTCTCTATTACAACTTCACCTCAAATGGCTTCAACTGACACCAGCATAGCTAAAGTTCCGTTATATCCCTCAGTCTTCACATAGATTGGTAACTGAATATATTCTTCTTATATCGTTCTCAAAGCAAATACACTTACTAACAGCATAAGGAAAAGTTATCCAGACTATAAAAGTAGAATGTAACTACTCTGAAAAATGATTTCAGAATTTTAGTGAGTAATCAAACATAATACGCAAAAATCGAGAAATCCAGGATACCAACACAGCAAATACGTTAATACTACATACCAGTCATGATACATTCCTATTAATCCACGCTCGTAGATTACACCTAAAGTGGAAGTATTTGCAATTGTTGGAATGACATTCATGACCCATAGCTTTGGGGACTCTAGTGCAGCAGCAAAGCTACCAAGACCAGCATTCATGTCCATTATATTGCGATATCTTCCAGTATCAAGCAAGTTATTGGTTTTCTTGTAAGCCTTAACATGTTTCTGCCAAAGGTTATTGTCCTCTTCATATGACTGAACTGAGAAACCAGGCACAGAACCAAGGGTTATACGAGGAGGTACTGCGTAGAGCCTCTTGGGAAAAGGCTCTAATTGACCACCCGCAACCTCAGATACACTATTAACCTCAGGTAGGGGGGCTATACAAACTTCCATCTTCTTGTACCTGCGTATAGTAAATAGAGTCAGGTTTAAGAGCAAATACAGGGACAAAAATCATATTCTATTGGGAGGACTGGAGGAATGACACTCACCATACATCACTGTCACTTGTCAAATCACATTTGCCACCTTTTGGATTATCTTGTTTCATGGAGCAAGACTTATCATTTAATCTCTTTCTCCATATGGCGATACCATCCTTCTCAGATATCTTATTCCAACAAAGAAGTTGTGCAAATTGTTCTATTTTTCTTTGCTCGTTCCGAAGATCTTCCTTTGAACGTTGCCACCCCTTATAGTGAATCTTCCAGCCAATGGGCGGGCCTGACAGCACCCAATATCCACCAGGCCTTAGTACTCTGTCAACTTCCATCATGTACATACCATCTGCAGAAACAGAGCAATGAAAGTTTCATGCTTCAGATGTCCACACCATGGATCATTTACAACAAAAAGAAAGTCCTCATTGTGTTCTTACCATTTCCACTCCATGGAATTAAACATCTCGAGCAATGGGCCATGTCAAAGACACGAGATGGAAATGGCAGCTTTATTGACCCGAGGACACCAATATATGCAGGGACACCTCTCTCCAATGCAAACTGTACTTGTGCCTCATGATTATCCCGTGGTGCAAATGACATGGTCAAAACATTTTTCTTCAACAGGTAAGCACCCAAACTGGCAACCTAAATGAAAATATGACAAAGAAAAGAAGCAAGGGAAGATTAGAGCTCATGCAAGAAGAACAACAACCATGGCGCATCACTCAGTAAAAATATGCATGCATTTTCAGGGTAGGGACTTCACGTACCCCACAACCAGTATCCAGTGCAGTTCTCACTTTCCCTTCAGCTATTGGGATGACAGAAGCAAGCTGGTCTATATATTTATCGGCACCCTGAGGAAACTGTGTTCCACCACCAGGAAACCTGAAAACATTGCCCTCATAGTGCACCCAGTTCTGGATAGCCTTCTCAACAGTAAGG